AGTCAAGATACGGTCTATTTTTCGAGAAGGAGTCGATTCCCCTAAACCCTAGAGTCGATCACAAGTGGAACCATATACATCGTGATTACACTTAGTATTGATGATAATATTTGTGTGGTACATCGTGATAACACTTAGTATTTCTTGTTTACATTCAATTTGTGCTACATTTTGACAAATAGTCTAACTCTTCCCTAAGTATTTGGAAGAACAGAACTCAGCCATAACCAACCTCAATAAAATGTGTGCAGTAGCGGGCAAGACTACACTTCAACCACAAAAGAGAAATAACATCACCAATGCCCATTCCTTTTTAGACAATTATGGACATTGGTACTCCAGCATAGCATGGCTCTTCACTTGTAATGAAATCTAGTGGAACCAAATCTTGAATACCCTTCATTGATTCTTTGTAATGAAAAACCAAATATATGTGAGTGTATATAATATCAATTCCTCATCATTCTAACAACAAGTTTTTTGTAGCTCACCCTAATCACTATCATAAAGTCTCTTTTTGTTACTGTAAACAGCTGCAGGTTGAAATGAAAACCCATAATCATGTTGATGATCATCATCTCTACTTTGTAATACATGAGAACTGTTGTAATACATGAAACCAYASYTGTAATACATGAGAACTTTGTTGGTACCACATGAAACCATAGTTGTAATACATGAGAACTGTTGTACCAACAACTTATGATCATCTGTGTAACATGTTTGTGGTACCATGTGGTGTGGTACATTGTGGTATGTAACCAATTAGAACTACTTGTGCATGGTAATGTATCACATGAAACAAAATAGTTATTGGTACTACATGAAACCACATTTGTAATACATGAAAACTGTGCTACCGACTGTTGCCTGAGAAAACACAAACACTGTTAGGGTACCACAATGTACCACACCACAGGTAATTGGGACATTTAAATGTAGGGGACACAGAGAGCATATCAATGTTTGTATGTTTGGTTTGGAATAGCAAACTATAGTACTGAGAGAAAGTGTACCTAACAAAAGAGAAGCTTTAGTAATACGGACGTATGTTAAATCCTCATGAACACCACTTTCACAATGGCATTTTTTTTCCAGTTGTAGATGCTATATTTAGAGCAGAACCATGGACAGTGCCATGGACGGCTAAGACCATTCTTCAGGTGCAACTCTTTGCTTTTGTCAATTGCCACTTTATTTTTCATGGATTCTTCTCTGTGTTGACCACCTAATGCCATTACTTACCCGGTGTCAGCCATATTATCAGTCAAATGAAATGGTCCAGAAAAATAATGAAAAGCCACATGCGAGTAGTTATTAAATTCATATGTAATATTTAAGCAGTTAATGGTCGATTGCAGAAATTGCTATCAGGACCTTGATTTGCAACCGCAGTTATCGTGGTGGTATAACGATAATAAAAAAAAGTAGGTTCATAAATTAAATACCACAGGGTACCACAAACATATTACAAAGCTGAACAACTAATACAGATACAAAGTAAGTACACTAAACATTGTGATGATAATAAATTTGGATAACACACTGTGATACAAATCAGGTTGAACACAGTATACAAAGATGGATGAGAAAAAAACCTGGATTTATATCATTCTGAATATCATTGTATAATTTTGGAATGTAAATCAATATTAATTATATATTATGAAACACTTCTAATTTAAAAATTAAAATCTAATTTTAATTTAGGAATTGATTGAAATGCCCTTTTAAATTTGTTTAAATGTAATAATTAATGTATTAAAATGATTGGTTGATATTGGTTCTTACAGTTACCACAAACAACTCAGTTCTCCCTCGAATGGGCCCCTATATATATATATATATATATATATATATATATATATACTACATATATAACCATTTAAGACAGTCTTAAATACAACTCTTTAAGCACAAGTTACAATAGTTTTATACAAGATTTTCAAAAAACTCTTAATAACAACTCATTAAGCATATGGTACAAGTTTTCTATGCATTTACCTTGTCCCTCACAATTTCAGATTCGTCTCTCACAGAACCCTTTTGGTAAGTCAGACATAACATACCCTTTTCTAGCTCTCCTCTTTGAAATTGGCAAGGTCAAAGATCGCTTTCTTTCGATATGGACGATTTCAGACTTCAAATTTGTGGCTCCAAGATGACTGATTTCAAATTTCAAATTCGTGGCTCCGAGACGACTATGCATATAACCTTGGTTTTCCTCTTTGAAATTGGTAAGGTTGCTACTCTGCACAAATGAGCGATTTTTGACTTCAAACCCATGGCTCCCAAGACGACTGTGCATATAACCAGGGTTTTGGAGTATTGATTTTCAACAACGATTTCTCTGGGGTATTGATTTACATTTCGTGGCTCCCTAGCGATTTCTTTGAGGTATTGTCCATTTCCATTTCAAAACCCTAGCGATTTACATTTTGTCTTGGTGTTTGTTGTAGCCAAACTTTCATATATCTATATATATATATATATAGATATATATATGTGTGTGTGTGTGTGTTTGTCTTTGTGATAAAAACTTGATCATTTTGGTTAAAGGGATAAACTGTCACTGTTAGGGTTCTTGTGTGGTGAAGAAGGATATTAGTTTGGAGCGACCCGACATAGCTGGAACTTCAATTCGTTCAGATAGCAAGATTTTTGGCACTACTGGCTGGGATCACAGGTTAGTACAATATTTTTGGCACTGAGTTGAAACTACCAAACCAAAGATTTTTGTTGATAATTTTGATTTATGATTCTCTTCTCTTTCTGCTATTTCCAAAAGTAAATAATGAAACAAATAATGAATTCTTCTAGTTCAATAATTTTGATATTTTTTTGTCCATGGGAATGAATCAGATTTTGTGGAAAGACTCAACGATTTGATCATGTATATATATGGAGGTCTTTATTTTGGTGTTGAGATCTTTAAATTTGTTGATTTTCTACCCAGCCACATCCTTCTTTGTTTGTTTTTTAAATTTGTTGATTTTCTACCCAACCACATCCTTCTTTGTTCCTACTRTTTTATTTCACATGATTGAGAGCCAAAATGGTGACATYGGGATATTCYKTTTCTRYTGATAATATTGCTTTMTCAATCTTTGGTTCTTCTTGCATRATGCCAAACTTGSTTTGTGCATAATGGTCTTGCATAATCAAATAAGGAGTATAAGCATCTGCATTTGCTTAATGCACTTACCCYTGTGTTTTCTTATTCACATRTTCATTTGCATTTTTYCATTTGCAACCCAACCTACTGAACATTTGYGAAAAYTGCTCTGTCCAAAACCAATCTTCATCAGGTTTGGTTATTGAACCAGTACTTCAACAAGTTTGAGAATATGTCAAAATAAAATACACARGTTGTGACCAAGTGACTGTCAATTAAACYKTTTTATCCWGCTGTGAGTAACTTGAACCTTACTTGATGAGGCATCACATGTTTTGTCTATATAACCATTCATTGGAAGTTTTTAAGCTAGAAAGTAAGTTCCTGCAGAATATTAGTTGAAACATGAAGTAATTTATTGTTCTCTTTTACCAAATCCATACACAACACAKAAACAKTTAAGCAACAATCATTCTTGTTCCTACTGTTGCTCCTGTCCAAGAACCTGTTGTTATATGCTGGACAAAACAGTTATTTCTAACCTACTTTTTAAGTTCTCAAATTTGCTTTGATCCCTAAAATTGTTTTACATAAACCATGCTTCATCCTCTTGTATAATTCTAACGTATCTTGTGGTATGATTTTGGATAATGCCCCTAAACAGTTGATCATCAAGTGAATAAATAGTGGAAGTCAAATCAAACTAAAACCAAGTGTAAGTGACCTGGAAACACCTATGAAAGAATTCGGAAGATAAACTTTCTAGGCAAACATTGTTAAGCATCAAAATGTGATCATGGCACTCAACTGACTTTAGTTTGTTTGGGCCCTTGGATGGAGTTTTGGAGTTTTAGGATCAAGAAGCCAAGCATGTTGAAGATCTTCTATTGAACCTTTTCAAAAGTTGGTTAATTGACTTAATTCATGTATTTATTAGATCTGTACAATTGAGAGCTAAAACAAGTTCAATGACATTCCATTTTTAGCAATTCTTTTCCTTAGATATGTGTAGAGCTGTAAACGAACCGAACGTTCAGCGAACCGTTCGTGAACCGTTCGGCAGGAAGTTCATTTATGTTCGTTTATTTAATAAATGAACGAACATGAACAAATTTTTTTGTTCGTTTAGTTAAACGAATGAACATGAACCAGAGCCTCGTTTGTTCATTTATGTTCGTGAATGTTCGTTCATTTACCGTTCGTTTACGTTAGTTTATATTCATTCGTTTATGTTCGTTTATATATTAAATTTAATATATAATGTATTATTTTATTTACTTTGAATTCAAATAATATTTATTTATGTTCGTTTAACCCGTTCGTTTATGTTCGTTTAGCTCGTTCGT